AAAGGAGGATTATGTACAGTACAACTGTCTTTATTTTATTGAATGATCTTTCATTTCCCTAAAAAAAATTTGTTAGTCTGAAGAACTACAAGTGGAACAACTTAGAAATAATCTGAAAAAATGAAAGGTTATATGTTGTTGCTAAAGGCCTATTGGCCCAGATGGTAACCTTTATTGGTTTGCCTATAGGATTGTCATCATTTAGCTGGCATGCTGGACAATTGTACAGAGCTTTCAAACACCATCTATTTTTGGCAAAATTTTAGTTTGGAGAAGTGTTTGTTTTAATTATCCCTTAATGGCCTTCATGAACTAAACACAGAACCTTTGATGCAAGAAAGATGGAATTACCAATCTGATCCACAAGTGCAAAAATTAACTAGCACTAAAATTTATCAGGTCAGTCCATAAGTTCATGCATATTTTTATCTACAAAAAAAGCAACAAAAAATTTTAATTAAATTTTGTTTCGATCTATAATGTATTCACCATTATTTTGTACAATTTCTTGCCATCTTGATGTTAGCTTTTTAATCACGTCTTCATAAAATGATTTCGGTTTTGAATCAAAATATTCAGAAATAGCCTTTTTTACATTGTTCTCATCCTCAAAAGTTTTCCCTTTTAAAAAATTCTGCAAACTGAGAAAAAGGTGATAATCACTGGGAGCAATAACTTGCGAATATGGTGGATGAGGTAAAATTTCCCAGTTGAAGCTTTTGAGTTTCTCTACAGTTATTTTTGCAGCATGTGGTCTGGCATTGTCATGTTGCAAGAGAACCTGCTTTCTGTTCACCAATGACGGTCGATTTTTTTCAATTTTTCATTTAAAACGCTCTAATTGATCACAATACATTTGAGCTGTAATTGTTTGATTAGGTTCTAACAGCTCAAAGTGAATTATACTTGACATATCCCACCAAACAGACAAAAGAATTTTTTTTCGATGCAACCCACCTTTTGCAGCTGGTTTCGGCTGCTTGTTGCGATCTGTCCATTGTC